TGTGCTCTTCCGATCTCAACAGTTTTTTTTTGAATCATATTATAAATATATTTAAGATGATACAAAGGTCTCATTTTTTTTAATCTGATACAACTTCTTTCGAGGTAAAAACGTTAAAAAATATACTTGGCGGTTTTTTTACATTTTTAATGTCTATTTTCCACGGTAAGCGTAAGCTTATATCTAATTCAAATAAAAAATTTACACATTTTAACGAACAAATAAAAATCAATTATTTACATTACTTTCTGAGTCCCAATTCATATTTAATATAATGAAAAATATTAAAAATTAGGTCTGTTAAGTAAGAAAGTGGTCGGATTAATTTATAACAAAATTTATTTTTAAAAATTTTCAAACATATATATACGTTCTACTTGATGAGGACTTCGATGCAATTACTTCAATAATGCGTCCAGTAGTCACTACCGGCATCAGTAATCGCCTGGCATCTTCGAGGCATACTTTCAATTATAATATATTGACGGCGTAATCTAGTGGCAAGGCCCCCCAAATTCGACGAATCTCGCGAGATAACTGTTTTAGTGTATATTGTTACGCCCATGTCTACGCCTGCGTCGTTCGATGTACCAGCGAGCCGGTCCAGCTGTCGGATGTTTCCCTGACGACGCGTTGTCGTCTGTCAAACGGACGACATATTAGATTTGAGACAAGCCGTCGTGCCGTGCGGACGTGCTTTGCTCTGCTCTTTCTATTCGCTTATCTGTTCACAGTTACTAGAATAAAGAGTGTTCCTTGTGTTCTTAATTGGTGTCCGTTTTATTTCTCCGCGGCCTTCCGGTGCGCGTGCACGAACGCGAGTGCGGAAACGCGAACGTTACGCGAACGAGTGCGTGATCGCAAGATTCTCCGCCCGGGGCGTAGTAACAATATGTACGCTTTCCTTGAAGTCCGTGCTTGATATATGTCCACACACTTTCGATTGGATTGGCATCGGGTGACTGCGACGGCCAATCCAATCTAACGATGCCTGATTGCTCCTTGGTACTGAGCTTGCTGCGGTGCTTAGGATCGTTGTCCTCTTGCAGAATCCAGTTCTCATTTTTATTGATAAACCAATGTTCGGCAGACGATAATAAAGCCTTTTCGTAGATTCCCAGCATTTTCTTGGCATTCAGATTACAAGTAAACAGATGCAAAGTGCCGAATCCTTTCTTTGAAAAGCAGCCCCAAATGCACTTTTATTCCGTGTTTAACGGTTCGCTCGACATGCCTGTTGGTAGAGGTTGACCAAGTTTGTTTGAAGCTACTACGTGCTCATATCGAACATTCGTCAGTAAAAATTACGTTACTAAAATCTCGATCGATGTTCTCGTGCGCCCAAGTGAGTCGCTTTTTCACATGTTTCTTACTCAACAAAGGTTTCTTTATTGTACTACGGCATTTCATGTCATGAGCATGAAGATGAGTTCGAATAGTTACTCTGGTAAAAAAATATGATAGAAAACGAAAGAAAAATATTTTATCGTTTTGAATACGGACTTTGGTTCGTGATTTTATAAATGCTATATAATATTTCATATTGGAATGTTATCGTACTTTTTCGAATTTTACTTATTAGATGTTATTGTATTCTATGGTTTTAAACGGATAGTTCGTAATAATATGAAATTAAACGGAATTTTACTTATTAGATGTTATCGTATTTTATGGTTTTAAACGGATAGATCGTAATAGTTTGTAATAATTAAAAATCGATTGTGTAC